GGGGGGGGGCGCCCTGAGCAGGGAGGCCTGCGCGAAACGGGTGCTGGAAGCGCCAAGCCATTTCCATGCGATTGCTTCAGGAAGAAGCGTTGGCTCCGCACGCCGCTCTGTGTCCCGGGAAGAGGGACGCGGTGGTCATACCTACCAGTGCAGAGCAAGGCGCCACCGCTCCGTTCCTTTGAACGCGCTTAAGGGAGGGACACGGTCGGCTCCGCTTTCGCCCCAAGCCCGTCGGCTTCTCTTAGGCGGGGGAGAAGCAGCCCACACCCTGGCGGCTTGGGACTCTATCCCAGGGCCCTGTGGGTGCTGCCAGCCTCTCTGTTGGGACAGTCGGTTGCAGGGAGATGCAGTCGTTTCACGCAGGGGACTGTAAGGTCGTCGAGCCTGCGCAGCCCTCAATTCCAAGCAACAGCGTTCACAGGAGCAGAGGCCCTTCCTCAAACGCTCTTCGTAAAGCGAGAAACGCGCGCGCGCGCGAGAAAGCGGCTCCCTTCCTGGGACTGCCGCGCCCAGGCTGTGGCAAGGGCCTCTCCCTCGGCAGCGCCTCGCGGCCTACACGTGAAAGCGGTTTCTTGGCTCGGAGTGTGTGGGCACGCCTGCGATCCAGCCGCTCGACTTCCCTGTTGGAAACAAGTCAGGTGGCATGCTCCCCCCGTCCCAGCACCCGTCGCTCCATGGACGGAGATGCCTGCCCAAAGCTGAGCCTAAATCCCTGAGAGAGCACCACAAACTGACCTGCACGAAAAAAGCCCGAAGCCTGGCCGTCTTTCGCGAAGAGACAGAGTCGCCCTCGCGGTTTGGGGCGGAAGCCGAAGGAAGCCTGCCTGCCGGGCCTCGGTTCGGGGGCCAGATGAGAAGGCGGCTCCTTCCGTCGGCCTCATCCATGCAGTGCGCCAGGGCGTTGAAGGCGGCTCCTGCCAGGACAGTGACCGCGGGACCCCCCCAGCAGAGCACACACTCCAGGTCTGAAGGCCCGGGAGGAATTCAGACAACCACCCCGCTTCTGTCAGCCGTCCGCCGGCAGTCGATCCGGCCCCCACAGGAGCAAGCTTTAGGAGAGCGCTGTGCTGCACACCCGGCTCGCAAACAGGACTGGAGCGGGACGCCGGCCTGCAGGCAAACCTCTCTAGCGGCGCCCTGAGCAGGGAGGCCTGCGCCAAACGGGTGCTGGAAGCGCCAAGCCGTTTCCATGGGATTGCTTCAGGACGAAGCGTTGGCCCCGCACGCCGCAATGTGTCCCGGGGAGAGGGAAGCGGTGGTGCCGCCTAGCCGGGCAGAGCAAGGCGCCAACCCCTCAGTCCCGTGACCGAGCTGAACGGAGGGACACAGTCATCTCCCCTTTCTCCTCAAGCCCGTAGGCTTCTCTCAGGCCCGGCTGAAACGGCACACGCCGCCTGACGGTTGAACCGACATCCCAGGGACCTTGTGCGCGCCCCCAGCCTCTCTGGTGTGACAGGAGGTTTCGGGGAGAGGCGGTCATTTCACGCAGGGTCCTGGAAGCCCATCGAGCCAGCGCAGCCTTCCATTCAAAGCGACAGCGTTCCGGGGAGCAGACGTCCTTCCCCAAACGACGTGCGTGCGTAAAGAGGAGAAGCGTGGATGAGAGAGGGAGCGGCTGGTTTCCCGAGACCGCAGCGCCCAGGGTGTTGGGTCGGCCGGTTCCGCGGCAGCCCCTGCGGCTCCCACGGGGAAGCGGTGTGTTGCCTCAGCGTGTGTGGGAACGCCTGAGGCATTCCCCTCGACTTCCCTGTTGGGGACAAGTCAGGGTGGAATGCTCCCACCGTCCCCGCACCCGTCGCTCCACGGAGAAAGATGCCTTCCCAAAGCATAGCCTGATCCTGGAGAGAGCACCGGAACCTGACCTCCATGAAACGAGCCTGACGCCGGGCTGCCATTCGCGGGGAGGCCTCTTTCGCGAAGAGCAAGAGGCGCCCTCGCGGTTTGGGGCCGAAGCCGAAGGAAGCCCGCCTGCCGGGCCTCGGTTCGGGGGCCAGATGAGAAGGCGGCTCCTTCCGTCGGCCCCATCCATGCAGTGCACCAGGGCGTTGAAGGCGGCTCCTGCCGGGACAGTGACCGCGGGCCCCCCCACCCCCCAGCAGAACACACACTCCAGGTCTGAAGGCCCGGGAGGAATTCAGACAACCACCCCGCTTCCTTCAGCTGGCCCCCGGCAGTCGATCGGCCCGACAGGAGCAAGCGTGAGGAGAGCACCGTGCTGCACACCCGGCTCGCACCCGGGACTGGAGCGCGACGCCGGCCTTCAGGCAAACCTCTCCGGGGGG